AAATTTGAAAGTGCGATTTATTTTCAATAGCTGGGAGGAGGGGGGGAAATATCATGTTTTAAAAGTATTATAGAAAATATATAAACAATACTACTTAAAATGATCATGAAAATTATAATTTAGAACACAATATTTGCAATTATTTTAAAATTAAAGTCTTTTCGATTATAAGATATATTATTGCAAACATTGGATCGCAAAATATGATAATTACACTATGGACATGAACAGTAAAACTTATTGACAAAATGATAAAATGATATCGATTAAATGTACTAGAAACTGCGCTTCTTTATTTATATTCAAATTAAGATTATGATCCGAAAATGAACAGGCAAACGAACGACTGTTTAAAATTAGATAACCAGCGTTATGTTAACAAGCCACCCGATCATTAAGATTAGAACGGGAGTGTGTGCCGATTGTAAATCAAGTCAACGATGCGTTCATAATTTCACGGCATTTATATTCCCGCGATGTCAAGTAGATCATACCGATGGAAGTTTTCTCACGGCTAATATCACGCCTTAGCGAGACATTGTAGCGGTATTTTTTGAAACGAAACGAATATATGCGAGATAAGAACGTAATCTTTCTCACAATGAGAAAAATGGCCTCAAGGTCAGCCAGGTTTGCATTACGAGGGATTGGAAATACGCGTGTGATTGATGCGTTCCTTCATACAATGATGCATAAATCAAAGATAGCAGTATCTTAATTAATAGTAAGCGCCGGTTCCAGGTATCCGTTTCCGTTCTTTGACTACAAAAGCTGTTATACACATATACATACAATTCGTATTGGTCATAATTAATTTATCATATCAGTAATATCTAGCAATCATGTTTTTTAATGCATTTCTATCTATTATAAGATAATAGCAAATGTCGGCAGTTTGTAATAATTCAGCTATTTAACAAGATTTGTATGATATTTTATAATATTTGAATATTTATAAACAAAAGTTAAATTTCATTTAAATTATATTACGACGAATTTCATCAAAGATAAAATGTTGATTTTATCAGATAATTTTTTAAACAAGTTCTTACTTATTTTATTTGAGAATATGTGGTTTATAAAAGTTCTTAGCACACTAGTATACAAATAAAATGCGAAGATGACAATTGATCTAAAAAATCGATTAAACTTTGTGTTCGCAGGATCCGCCAATAATTTTGGTGGAAATTTGTCTCCTAATGGAGCACAAAATCAAGGCGGACTTAATTCCTGGGCTTCCAGTGGTGCATCTGTTTTTGCCAGTAGTAGTGCCGGAAGTAAGTTTCCAATAGGATTATTTAAACACGTATTCAGAGAGATATAATTATTTAATGTAAAAATTGTAGAAAAGAATGTTAAAATATTAAAATATTATTGCAGGTTGGTCAGGAAATCATCCTATCGATGTAAAGGGTTAACCAGTTTAATCGAAAGACGAATATTAAAATATAATAAATACAGACGATGACATAATTCTGAAATATATTGTAATATATATTTGACGTCTCGTCACTTAATCATAAAATGCTTAACGTCTGTCATGTAAAGCTTTATGTATAAAGAGATTTTATATTTATTTGATGTATCGTTTATTTATTGTAATCGATACGAGTAGATAAAATTTTCCCTTTGTACATATCTTATTGTTAGTTAACTGATGAAAAAGTAAATAGATTTCTCAGAATAACGTGTATAATAATAGTTTATGTCACATGTCCTTATTATCAGTTATTTCGATAATTGCCAATGTAATATTCCATTCCATGTTTTTAACGAACTATAGAGTTATGTCGTTAAAAAACATTAATTTTCAATATTTTTGTAAACTTTATTGTTTATCTTTGTCTTATTGTTATTTTAAGCAAGATAGATTCCATAATTAAGTTAATGTTTTCTTTTTAAACTAAATTAAGTTAAAGTTAATGGTTTATAAAATTAATAAAATTAAGCTAAAAGTTGAAAGAATAAAAAATTAACTTAATAAAAGTTAAGATTGAATTAACTTACGTTAAAAAAAGTTAATTTTGAAAAAAATTATTTTACTTTAAATAACACAGTTACAATATAGATTATTAGAATTGTAAAATAAGGCTTTATGAATAAAACAATTTTAATACTAAAGAGCATGAAAAGCCAACACTGGATATTTTTATGAAATTATTATATAATCTTTCGGAATTAAACCAAATTATTTATTAACGTTTCGACACTGAAGATAACACGATAAATGTATCGAGCGTTTGTAAATAATTTGGTTCAATTCCGAAAGATTATATAATAATTTCACAAAAATATCTAGTGTTAGTTTTTCATATTCTTTAGTATTAAAATAGATTATTAGGTAAATTAAATTTTTTTATTCACATGTAAGTTACTTATATAATTAGAGTCACACACACCATAAAGCGATTTTATCAAAATTTTGCGAGAAAGAAGAGTATATACATATTTGCATTATCTCTTTTTCTTTAACATTTATCTAACTTCTGAAATGACTGCTCACGCATGTTTACGACTAGATATTTGTTACAAAAAATAAACATAAAAATTTAGAAAATGAGTAGATGTGCATTACTGTTTTACAATAATTTTTCATTTAAGGCTCATATTTTATATTTATATTGCTAAAATATAACGTACATTTATGATACTTAAAATTAGATTCAAATAGAAGCGGGAATTGACAGAACCTAGCGACCCAATAAAAATTGGCTATCGTATGGTGTGACTCTTATTATAGAGTCTCTAATCTCTAAATAAAATCGTTGAATTTTTTCTAAATTATTCTCTAATGTTTAAGAGAAGTTAAAAAGTTATGTATGATGTTTAAGAAGTTTTATAGAAAAAAATATTAGCCTTAAAAAATATAGAAAAATTTTTAATTTAAAAAAGTTAATAAATTAAATTTTAAAAATAACTAAATTAAGTTAAAAATTAATGCATTTAAGATTAACTAACATTAAGTTAAAAGTTATTAATTTTTTAACTTTTTTTTTTAACTTTTAACTAGTTACCAAGTCCTAATCCCTCAGATCTATATCTGGGATAGATGTGTATTGAAATCCAAAAAAGACGAATCGATGATCTAAGACTATAAGATACTCCATCAGATATGTGTCTCCACAATAATTCGTATTAAATTATTTTTTATATATATAAATAATATATATGTATATTAGACTGCCAAGGAAAAAAAATTGTTTTTTAATTGACTATATTTAGCTCAAAAGCTTCCATTCATGCCAAATCGAAACTTTAATTTAAAAATTGTTTACTAGCGACTTCTAAATCTTAATATTTTTTGATAAAAATTTAGGGGTGTTCTTTTGGTATGAAATGGAAGCTTTTGAACTAAGTGGCCGATTAAAAAAAAAAATTTTTTTTTCTTGGTAGTTTAATGTATTATATATATAAAGTTTCATTCATGTGTAATAGATTGATTTAGATACAGTTTGATATTGTTAATATATACTAAAAAAATTTTATTTTGGTTCGTGAATTAATAAAAAACTGTAAATTTTGACTATGAAGTTTTTATTTTGTATGAATATTTTATTATGAATACATGCAAATTAATTTTACTAATATATAAATGTAAAACAAGAAATTTTTGAGATATTTTACTATCTATACTGTTAAATGCTTCCAAAAAAATTGTTTATTTTACATAGTGCAAGCAAAAAATCACGATCTCTCATTTTTAATTTATGTGGCTGCAAAAATAATTTTAATTAACAGCAACAAAAATAGCTTCATATATCATATTTCGTTTCTAACTTTCATTTCAATGTAAATAGTATACTTTTTATAGAAAATAATAAATTTTTAAAAATTAATTTTTGTGAAATTTTTTGCCAATGTTTATCCAGAAACTTGGTTATTTATCTAATGCGGTATATTTGCAAATATTGTTCGTTTATAAATTGTATTATTAAAGGTAATGAAAATATAGCATGCGAATGTAGTTTATGAAGTAATAAATTTCCGAAAATATATTGAATGTTGTAAATTACAATTAGTTAGCTATACAGGGTGTTTCTTAAATAGTAAACACTAATCATATGTGTTATTCCTGATTAAAAATTGAGTTGAAAAGTCCTCTAGCATTTTGCAATTTTTCGCAATGATTGAAATATTAATTTCTAAAGATTGCCGAATCACATAATACTATTCCTGATCAAAAATTGAATTGAAAAGTTCCTTACCATTTTGCAATTTTCATAATAATTAATGATTCATCAGCCGGATTGATACGCGCTTATTCAGCAATCTTTAGAAATTAATATTTCGTCATTGTGAAAATTGCATGATTGTAAAGGACTTTTCGATCAAATTTTTAATCAAGAATGGGGCTATATAATTAGTGTCTGTTATTTAAGAAACATCCTACATAAATACGTGATAATTTTAATGTAATTAAAAAATTTTTAATTATTTTCATAATATTGTTTCAGATGTGTCCTTCTAATTCTCAACTACCCGGAAACCCAAAATTTATTTAATATAACATGTTTTCTCTTGTGGATTAAATAAATATCTATATTTCTCTACGTGAAATATTTTTGTATTCTCATCTGACAAAAATAATTGTTTTTCTATTATATATATATATGTTAAAATAATTATCCTACAATTTAATTAAATTATTATTACTTTCAACTAATATCTAATTATAATAGTTTTATTATAATTTCTTATTGTTATATTTTGTCTTTTTCAAATTAAAAAAACTTCAGTAACAGTCACTCTAATATCTTTGTAGCATTTACGTTTGTTTTGAGTTTCTGATTTTCATTTGCCTGTCTTATTTGTTTTTTTATTTTTTTCTTTTAAAATATTTCGTATCTCTTGAATGTTAAATTTGATAGTTTGTAGATAATATAATGCTTGCATAATATATTAATTCTTAGATAGTATATATTAAATACGATGGATTTTAAACATCTTAGTGATTTTACTCATCTTTCAGGTAGGAGCATTAAGTGACTTATTGTTGTCAATTTACTTAGAAATTAATTTATTATTTGTCCATACACAGGAAAAAATACGACTTTATCAGACCTATTGGCATATAAAACAGATATAGGTGTAATCATGGAAATATGCTATACAACTACAAACATACGGTGCTCAATGTAAAGAAACAGAAAGCCGTAATAGACTAGATCCGTGTAGTTAGGATATGTGATTTGAGGACAGGTGACTATTTAATGCTGTTTTATGGGCGAATTTTTTCATACAAATAAGACATTCGTGAGTTTTTTCGTTAACGTGTACCAATAAGTGCTTTTTCAATGCTGCTTTATCTTTGCATATTTTTTGACAAGTACTACATTCAAATGGTCTCTCACCGGCGTGAATCAGGATGTGGCTGTTTAACGTGGTCTTCTGCGTGAAAGCTTTGTGACACACATAACATTCGTATGGTCTGTCGCCGGTATGACTTAACATATGTTTTCTCAACGATGACTTTTCCTTGAATGTCTTCTGGCAGATGTGACACGCGTGTCTCTTATCGCCTGTATGTATGATCATGTGCGAGTTTAATCGCGTCTTCTCCCTGAACGCCATGTCGCACATATTGCACGCAAACGGTTTCTCACCGGTGTGTATTAGAGTATGCCGATTCAGATCCGATTTTCTGGTGAAGATTTTGTCGCAAACCTTGCAATCGTATTGACCACCAGTGTGTAATAACATGTGACTGTTCAAATCCGATTTTCTTGCGCATGCCTTGTGACAGATGTGACACTCGTGAGGTTTCTCGCCCGTGTGGACCAACATATGGGAATTCAATTTGGCCTTTTCTCGAAAAGTCATTAAGCACTCTTTACACTCGTATGGTCTCTCACCAGTGTGAACCATAGTATGCCTAATTAATTCTGATTTTCTCTTGTACGTTTTTTCACAAATATTACACGCGTGTGGTTTTTCACCGCTATGCGCCAACATGTGATTGTTAAGCGCGGTTTTTTGGGCGAACGATCTATGACACAACGTACACTTGAAATGTTTGTTTCCCGTATGGAGTGGCAAATGCATGTTCAATTTTGCCTTCTCCTTAAATGCCTCGAAACAAATCGTGCATTTATAGGGTTTGTCCGCATTTGTGTGATTGGTCATGTGTCGATTCAAATTAATTTTCTCCTTAAATGTCATGTGACACACATCACATTCAAAGGGCCTGTCTTCCATTGGCATTATCTGTTCATTCATACCAGCTCGCTTCATAAAAGCCTGCTGCAATGCATCACAATCGTAAGGTTTATCTAATACATGTAATTGCATGTGGCTTCTTAAACTCCATTTATAAGCGAATCTTTTTTGACAGATGTTGCACTCTAATGGACTCATCCCAACGTGAGTTAACATGTGGGCATGCAGGCTAGAGTTGTCAGTAAAATTTTGTTGACAGACCTCACATTGATTTCCACTACAGTGCGTCTTTAGATGCGTCACCATGGAATCATTATTCAGAAACCATTTTTTGCACATTGAGCATTGAATCTTGTAGAATTTTGGTTGTTGCCCATTTTGACAGAATCCATGATGCTTCTCGGAGTCTTGTGTTTGTATAAAATTTGTATTAGTCAAGCATCGTTGCATCACATCCTCTTTGTCACATAAATTAGTATTTGTTATTTGTGACCAGTTCTGGTGACTGGTAGATTCTCCTTCCAACTCTAACTTCACCTGTAAAAATTCACAAAGCTCCTAGAAAAAGATATTGTAACATAACATATGACTGCATTCAGCAGAAAAAGCAGCTTTACAACTGTTGTAAGATTCTTTAATATAATTTACTCATTCAGATCTAGTAGGAACTAAGGGCCAATTAAAGATATGTTAAAGAATTTTAAAATTGCTGCTTTTTTTGTTGAATGCAGCCAATATCATAAAAACAAGTTGTACTTTTATTAAGCAGTTGATGTTATTCAAAATTTAGAATCTACAGCAGATATAAAACTATACAAAAAAATTATGACTAGTTATAATGGTTATATTACCATTTCGTTGGAGAAATCCACCTCATTATTTTCGATAGGCAAAAACAGAGTGCCCTTCTCGAAAGTGCCTGAGCAAATATCCTCCATGTAGTCTGGATCAAATGTTCTGTCACCTGGTCTCACAATGTTCTCATCCTTAAAGTAATCGTTACGTTAGACTCTGGACAGCGCCAGCAGTATGCCATATACCTGCTGCTGTTTCATACAAAAAGTTTACCATAACCTGACTGTCTATGGCTAATGCATCCATCGGTTCATCTTTCACCTTAAAACCTTCCATTTGCTACACTTCATTCTGAAAGTGAAATTAATTTATTCGCTTACATTTTACAATGCGATCAACACACAATGTCTAAAGAAAGCAAGAAAAAAAAAACAAATCCAGATAAAGAGAGACAAGGAAAAAGCTTTGTACACGATGGGTGCAGCCAGAAATTACATTAGGGAATGTCTTCCCAAGTCCTAACCTCCCGGAACGCGGCTTCCGCGAGTCTGTGTCGAGGCTTCGCCTGTCGCGTCGGTCGCGAACCTGTTGCCGCGTTCTGGGAGGTTCAGTCGAAGGCGCGAATCGTAATTACCTAAGTCGATACTCACAGCATAGGTTACATGGCCCTTCCATGGAGTACAAAAATACAGGTTCAGCACGGGGTTGGACGACGCCGGCGCTGCTGAGATAATTGCACCGCAGTTCGAAGCAGCCGATTCGCCGCAGGCGGATCGTTCAGATCGTTCTCTCCTTAGATTTTACCGACACCGATCCGATCGTGAGCAGGTCGTGAGATGCAGGTGACGCGCGAACGCGACGACGAACTTTCTCTCTCTCTCTCTCTCTCTCTCCCTCTCTGCCGACGAGGAAATCGACAAGGCAGGCGATGCGCTACGCGTTGGCTGGAGTAGATAACGTAACGTTGCACAAAACGCACGCGCGCTCGCGCGCGTCATATACACACGCGCATGTATGACGTGTGCGCGTGCGTATGCGACACACAACACGTATATAGGACGGACAGGACTCGATCGCTTGACGTCGCGTCGCGAGTGCACGTATGTGGTATGCACATATACGATACGTGCTGCGTACTACGTCACGCGGCGGCGATTACGTAGCGCTCATGCGTGTGCGCGCGCAAGCACATCACACGCATCGCGCAGCGCTGCGCACCTTGCTGTTTATGCGCGCGCTTGACAATTGATGTGCACAAGTTGGGCAAACGTGCTCGTGTGAAGAATGTACACTCCGCGGAATATCAAGGATCAGTTCCGAGGATCTAGTTGAGTTCTTGTCAAATAAAGTGCACATCTTTACGCAACAGAGGAACACATAGGGCTACAACAGCGGCATTATATCGAAACGTGTACGAAAAGGAGCAGATGGGTAAATTTATAATCGAGACTTTTTATGTAATTGTATTGAGAAATAGATAACATAAGATTAATAAGCATTATTTCTTTTTTAATATATATAATGTTTAGTATATAAAATTTAGTTTTTTAATTTAAAATATATATGTTAATTAATATGCGTGTCAATATTGAAAAACATATTTAAAACATATATTTTAAACATATTATGTATAATAAAAATATAATATATAATATTCAAAATGTAATATGTACAATTATAAATTAATAAAAAGAAGAGCATAAAACCACAGTACAAGATATTCTTTGTGATATTTAATATATAATTATGTTTATAAATAATTAGATGTTTCGGCCACAATATGGCTATCTTCAGTAAAATTACAAATATCCATAAAATACAGAATTTACATAAATCTAACATTAAATTCAGCGGTCATAAATATAAATATACATCAACGCATTCTTTTCTCTTGTACATCGTAAAAAGTGATTGCCAATTATTATATTGAAAATTATGTAAAACAAGAATTATCAGATTCTACTTTAAAAAATTATAATATCGTTAATATCTTCTAGTCAATTTGATAAGGATTAACAATTCGTTATCTGTTTTACAGAAAATGATGAATCTTAAGCACTTTCTTCACGCAGATGGAAATTTGTCGTGACATTGTGTATTATGATTTGTCCATACCTTTATATGTGTCCGCTATTTATATGTGCGTCAAAAGTTTAAAAACATTCTCTCACACTTAAAAATAATTCTAGAATAATCTAAACTTTTGACGCACATATAAATAGCGGACACATATAAAGGTATGGACAAATCATAATACACAATGTCACGACAAATTTCCATCTGCGTGAAGAAAGTGCTTAAGATTCATCATTTTGTCTGTAAAACAGGTAACGAATTGTTAATCTTTATCAAATTGACTAGAAGATATTAATGATATTATAATTTTTTAAATTAGAATCTGGCAATTCTTGTTCTATAATTTGTAATATGATAATTGGCGCTGCAACCATTTTTTACGATGTACTCTTACAAGAGGAAAGAATGCGTTGATGTATATTTATATTTATGACTGCTGAATTTAATGTACATTTATGTAAATTCTATGTTTTATGAATATTTGTAATTGTTATATGAATGTGTTGTATGAATATTTTACTGAAGATGGTCAGATTGTGGCCGGAACGTCTAAATTATTTATAAACGTAATTATATATTAAATGTCACAAAGAATACCTTCTGCTGTGATTTTATGCTCTTCTTTTTGTTAATTTTTGATTTATAAACCATGTTTGTTATAATTATATATTTTGTACAATTATGTTTGAAATGCGTTTTAAATATTTGTGTCAAATACTTAAATATTTAATTAATAATAATTCTGGAAATTGAAAAAAATTTCAGCGGTATTGATATTAGTTGATATTGAATTTATTGTTTATTTTTAATGCAATAGATAACAAAATAGAATTATTTTCATATTGAGATAATATTAATTCCATTAAATAATATTAATTGTTATTTATTACCTTATCATATCTTTCTTCTTTTTTCCTTTTTTTCTCTTTTTCTCATTTTTTTTATTGTGTTCTCTTTCTAATTGATAATTAATTATATCATGAGTATGAAATTCTTTGTCCGTCTTGTTATAACAACGATAAAATAACAAAGTATTATTAATGTGATAATTGTGGTAAATATGAGTCATACGTTTATAGTGGTTGTAGTAGCTATGTGAATTACATATAAAAATCTACGCGCTGTGTATATAATGAAGGTCATATTAGTACAAGAATAGAGACAGGAATTTAATTTTTATTCAATACGTGTATTACTGTAAACAACCAAGAGATTTAATTTACATAATATAATTATGTATATTATAATTAATTATTTATTATTATTAATTAATATTGACAAATAATATGTATGTATTGTATATTTGTTTTGTATTTTCTTTGAAATTACAATATACTTTCATTATGCAATATTATATAATGTTTTTACAAGTATGTTACACTACATTGTTATTACATCGTGATCTTTTCGAGAGAAAATATTTTATTGCATTGATAGATCTGTTTTTTTATCGCACTTTCTGAACTGATATATTCAGTGCAATAAAAAACAGACTTCTTATTGTAATAATATTGCCATTATGATAGAATATTCCTGTAATATAATTTTTGTTACATATCTTGTAACCATTCTGTTGGATAATTGTATGTTGATAAGTAAAAAGTGAAATACAGAATATTAATTTTTATTATGAATTTATTTAATTAAAGTCGTTATTATAAAAATTATTATAATTAATGTTATAATCTAATCATTGATAATAATAAATAAAAATTATTAAGTGAGTCTAAAATATTAAAAATCTAATTTTACGAAAACATTTCTGTATTTTCTAATAAATATTTACCACGTGATATTGGCTTTCTGTTAAAGATTAAGTTATTAAATAAATTTAATAACATATTTTATTGCACATTTAATAATTGTCCACTAATTGCTGAAATTTTGCTCTAAAATATCTAAACTATCCAAAATAATCTATTGTATTTTTGGACATATTTATTTATATATGACATCACATATATGAGATTACATAGACGATTTTAATTTTAGAGTTTTAATATTATATTTATTTATCTTATCACATTTTTTATTCTATAAAATAAATATTTTAAATTTGGACAAAATAAATGACTAATATGCATATGTTCACAAATCTTTCTTTTTACAATGATTCACACAGAATGTAATTACAGATCTTTGTATTAGATTACCAGCGTGAGTAAGCATGTTACAGTTACGTATGATGAAACACGCAAGATTTGAAAATGATGATAGGAAATGATGAAAATTTGTAATGATGATAAGTATAATGAGAATAATCTAGAAATTTGTAATCATTCATTAAAAAAAAAAGAAGATTTTAAAACACAGTATACGTTCTTATTTAATGTTTTATAATAATTACATAATTATTAGTCACTAATGAAAGCCGACACTGGAAAAAACGTGCATGTATTATCAATAATAATTGACAATTACACACATTTTGATTATTAATATATTAATTTAGATTATTTTTAATAATAAATAAGTAGTAATAAATAAAAATTGAACAATACATTAAATTCGATATAATAAAAAAAGAATATAAAGTCTTAAAATAAAATTTAATAATAATAAAATTTTAGATAAAATTTTCAATCATCTATTGTACTTGAAATTGCGGAATACATATTTCGATATTCCGATATTAAAAATTATAATCTGAAATCTTATGAGTTGTTAAGTAGATCGCATATCTGGTAAAACTTATTTCGAAGATTTGTAAACTTATTAGTTAAGGACGTTTCGTAAATATTTCAAAATGATAACACAATTATGAAAAAATTATAAATTATTCTAAATTGCATTAAAAGTAATACAACAAAATTTTTTTATTGATAATTTATTCAATAAAATCAAGTTATTTAAAACTATAAGAATTGTAAGAAATATATATGAATACTTATATAAATTCATGCAAAGATGTTTTTTTAGCAAATTATTTATTTTATTTGTTTACAGTATTTAGCTCTAAACAATGACGATGAATCTCACCCTATATTTGGTAACTATTTTAATATTGGATGTTAATTATGGTAAGTGAAAACATGTATCAACGAATTCTTTTGTTTCCATTTACGAAGAAAAAATCATATAGATGCGAATTCAATTTAACGTAACAATAAAAGAAAAAACAAAAGGAAAAGAAAAAAAATAGGAGAAAAAAATAAATTATTGATCGATGCTGTTTATTTAAGATTATGAGATATATTAGGCATATATTTATTATTTATATAGGTATATTTAAAATAGCAAATAAATCTTATTAGAAATGTTAGAAAATACAATTTATAAGTTACTGTAAATTTACTTAAAAAAAAATGTTTTCTTAAATTATGGATTTTATGAGAGAAATTTGTCATCTATGATCTGAAATCTGAAGGATCTTACAATTTATTGATTAAACATTTTTTTTAAATAAAATGTGTCGTGACAAATATCGTGCATGTTATTTTTGGAAAAGGAATCCAGGCACTTCGTATACGACGTTTAATTGGTGGACAGCCCGCCATCGAATCTGAGTTTCCTTATCAAGTGTCTGTACGATATTACAACTTGCATATCTGCAGTGGTGCGCTTATCAGCGATAGGCATGTCTTGAGTGCAGCGCATTGTATATGTGGCTTGATAGATGAACCCTCTGAAGAACTCAGTGTGCACACTGGGAGCATTAGTTTAAAAGAGGGCGAAAAACACGCTGTCAAAGATGTCATATGTCATCCTGATTATGTATATGGTTCTGAGAAGTCTTGGACAGCCGATTTAGTTGTAATCATGGTGAGGCATGCTTTCCTTTTGTCTTTTGATAATTGAAGTAGGAAATAAACTTCGATAAATTCAATTTTTAATAAATTGAAGATATTTTTTTTATTAATTTAATTTTCAAAAATTACAACTATAAAGATACAGATAATTTCTTATGATAAAAAGTTTTAATATTAAATTTGCGCACGCAGAGCAAATTTAATTTGATGAAGAATATGCAACTGTTTAGTAAATTTAAGATTATTAATAGATGGTATAAATGGCTGAAATAGTCTAATTAATAGTCTAATAAATAATAGTCTAATAGTTTTTGTCAGAACCAAATTATTGCTGTAAAATATTCATGATGCATTAAAATTTAAAAATAATACTTTTTATTTTTATGTTGAATAAAATGTATTTGGTGTAAAATATAACTTGTTGTTTATTGAAAAATTTTCTTTAGTAAAATTAAAAATCTTTAGTCAAATTTTATACGTATTTGTGAAATATCTATATTTTCAGCTTGCTAAAGAAATTTGCATATCATCCTCTCAATCGCCAATTGCTTTAGCAATGCACGACGATGTATCCATTGGACAACAAGCTATTATCAGTGGATGGGGTCGTGTTCATCCATTTAGTTGGTTGTCTCGAGACTTACAAAAACTTTCGGTGCCAATTATCGACAATAACGTATGTCAGACCTATTACAAAAACACTACTATTCTTAACTCCCAAATTTGTACATTCGAAAGGAAAGGTATCGGCGCTTGCAAGGTAAAATATATTATTTTTTACAAAAATATATTACTGTTGTTACATTTTGAAACATACGCGAAACTCAATTGGGAGCCTTTACAAGATCTTGTAAACTCCTTATAAGTTCCAAATTATAATTAATTATTATTTAAAATTATTTATCTTATAATTTATATAATTTATATATAATAAAAATAAATATATTATAATTATAATATACTTGGACGGAATTAGGTCTATTACCGAAAATATGATTTGAAAAACAGTCATTTTTGAGAAATCTTGCAGACGGACAATTGGACGGACGGACTGATAGATGGATGCACAGCTGGACAGTCGAATCAACACAGTCAGAAATTATAAAATACAAGCTGCTGCATTAAATTAATATTTTGTGTGTGATTATTAATAATTTCTAAATATGTGTATTTTAAAATTTTTTGAAATATTTAAGTTTTTTATTTTTAATTTTATCGTGTAAGAGATCGAGGATTCAAATAATAATGAAAGAAGTAATATATTTTTCACTTAGAATGTCTTAGAAACATTACAAGAAAATGATATTTATGACATCTTATTAAATAAAACATCGCAATTTTTTAGATTAAATTTATTTTAAAAGAAAAGAGTGATTTTATAGTATTAATTTATTCCTATTAAATTTATAATTTTTTAGTGTTAATTTATTTCTATTAAATCCAACACAATTAAATTAAATTTTTTAAAGTGAAACATGATTTTTTTCATTATATAAATATACTATAAATTTAATTTGAAGTATATGTACATTGTGTAAATATATAGTATATACATAGTAAAGAATAAATAATTATATTTTATTAAAATGTCAATTGAAAGAGAATATTATTCGCAGGGCGATAGTGGCAGTCCTTTGGTACATAATTGTATATTAATAGGTATATTTTCATGGACAAAACCTTGTGCACTTGGTTTTCCTGATGTTTTTACCAGAGTAAGCTACTTTATGGATTTTATCAAACAAGTAATGCAGGATAATTAGAAGTAATTAATAATATCGATTGATCTAATGTAAATAATATAATTTATAAACTTTTATATATATATGTATATAATCTTATATATACGTATAATAATTTATGAACTAACTTGATCCATTTTTAAGATCTGAGATAAGATAATCATATTACTCAGTTCAATTAAACAATTTCCGTACAAATATTTGCGCTGTTTATTTTATAGTTGCCACGCGTATATTTGTTGCGAGATACGACCATGTCTTTTGGTAAGATGTAATAGATTGAATAAATATTTTTGAAAAAGAATGTTTCTTTTTTCGACATTTTTTATTGTATGTGTGTGTGTGTGTGTGTGTGTTATATTATTAAATATGTACATATCCCATCGATTACAAATAAATCTGCTTTAAAAAAAAAATCTCCATGTCGACAGCGTTTTGATTTGAAAAGATCGATTGCGAATATTATGAAATTTTGATTAAATAAATTTTTTCATAAAATAAACTTTATTATATAGACAAAACTTTAATTTAAAAATAAATTGAAAAAAACTGAATCGATTACTTTCCGATAAAATCTAAGGCCCATATACGTATTTTTATTAATTCGAATGATTCATTGCTGAATCTCATCTCAAAAGTATGCGGAGAGAGATGAGAAATTCAGATGAATGAGATAAGATTCGAAAAATAATAAATTTTTCTTATATTAATAAAAATGTATCTTGGAATCATTTTTTGATAATGTATTGTTCTAAAATTAAGTATTTTGAAAGACACAAAACTGAACGAGATTACAAAAATAATTATAATTAGATAAAATTCTATTTTATGACAAAATAGATACAAGATCTTACTTCATATTAACTGGTACAAAATTCAGTTATTAATTTTTGTATGGATAAGTTACAAACTAATAATCATTTATTGTAACACAATTGAAACATCTAAGATATTCATGAACTGAGTGCGTATGTATTTAAGGAATGTAAGAAGTAAAGCAATAAAGCCTCTTCATCGGAGAATATAAAGAATGTAACGAATAAATTATTTTACTTATTTTGTAATATGCGTTAATATTTCGATAGATAGGTTGTGGTACGACCTTGGGTTTGTTTGATGCGGAAGGGCGGGTGAGCGGCGTGTTACGTTTACGCATCCTGTAATCGGCAGTCATTCAATTGCCAAGGCTCGTGTAGGTAAGTAGCCATGCCGATCTTTTTCATATTTCCTTTTGAAATGTAATTGCAATAAATGCTGGATAATATGAAGCGTCATATTTTAGAAAAACTTATTTAAAATATGAAATAAGAAATCAGAACAAGTTTAAATACTAAATAACTGCTTAATTTTTTTATTTAAAATACATATTTTAAATAAAATTGTTTTAAATATGACTGACCCCTGACTGATGCGACTCTTATTTAAAATAAAAAATATAAAATAAGGTCCGAAAACTTAACAACTCTTTTATCTTTTTTATTAAAAATATATATTTTAAATAATTTTATTTTAAATACGATCGAGCCGTGTATATTAATATATTGATAACTTGACTTTATATTACATGAGACAAAATAAAATCCAATTAGTATTTCGTCGCGGAATTAATGAAAAACTTCTTATATCGATTTTCTCAGAACTTAGTAACTTAGTTTTAATGACGCTAGTCATTTAATGTGATATCGTAATTCGTGGCACACCGAAGAACATATTTGACATTTAATTTATAATTTCAAATATTTCGTATCATCTAGTGTACTCACAAAAGGCAAGAGGTAAAAAGTGATTTTTACTAGCATGGTTTTTTTTATATAATTGCTCACGTAAAGTGTTTTTAACATTCCGACATTATATCTCAATTTTTATTACTCTTTGATGATTTACAATTAAATAAATACAATTAAATAAATTAAATAAATAAATAATAAGTTATTCATCCTTTAAATAAAGATAAATACAAAAAAATATTTTTTAAATTATGAAACAATTTGGATTAAATGGAATAATAATGTATAAATACATTCATATACATTCATATACATTTAGAAATACTTAATTAATACTTAAAATATAATCTTAATTTACCTATTACTTTTACGAATTAAAAATACGGAATAAGACGTAAATGACAGCATTAAACGAATCGAAAGTAACAAAAAGCCACAATATGTCAATCTTTTGTTAAAAATATTGCGTACGTTGCGCGGATTTCGTGTAACAAAAAGTTATTATAATAACTAATAATCGCTTATTGTAATACAATTTGAAATATCTAATATGAGTTGTAAGAGTAACGAATTTAAGAAATAAAGTAAAAATTACGTCCAATAAAGTCTATTCATTGAAGAATATTAAAAATGTAACGAATAGAGATTATTTTACTTATTTTGTAATATGCGTTAATATTTCGACAGCTAGATAATCGGTGTGCGACCTTGAGTTTGCTTTGATGGGGACGGCGCGGCGCGACACGTCACGTTATGCGTAGTCACGTATTCCATTATCGAGACTCGTACAGAAAGGTAGTGTGCCGCTCTTTTTCACATTTCTTTTTGAAATGTAATCGCAACAAATGCTAGATAATTCAAAATGTTGTACCTTATAAATACTCACAGAGTATACGATTATTAGCTCGTACGATTAATTATTCATAAAAGGATCGAGATGACAATTATGTATCACGGAACAGATATTTCATACGGATCATTCATTCGAAATCAAAACGCGATGGAAAAGAATTTATTACTATTTTGCGATAATTACGGTCGACAATTATTATAGTATTTAACGTGAAATTTTTCTCTCACTAAAATATAATTCTCGATTATGTTTCGAACGCTATCACACGAGTCATAAAGAGCAACGCTAATACGATAAATACGTTCTCATGCAATTTATGCTATTCCTACTTCAGTTAATATAGTTTGTGTAATTAATAGTTTAATTATTTTTTCGTTTTTGTACATTTCGTAATATAATTACGTAATATAATTCGTATAAAAAATTGATCATAACTTTGGAACTATTTGTCAGTAATAAAAGAAATATCTCTCTTTTTTATTAATCTCTAGCTCATCCCAATGACTCTAATCATACCTTTCAAACACCGTAATAAGAGATTCAGTTCTTTTATCTGCTCTGAATTTATTTCGCAATGATGACGAATTGATGTGTGTGTGTGTGTGTGTGTGTGTGTGTGTGATATTTATTTTTAAAAGTTAACCGATTTTTGCATAGTAATATAGATAATAACGCATTACGTTTTTTAGACATTTTCCTTCTCACGGGTACGATCTTAACGTAGTGAGAGGGCTCAGAACTCGCAGAATATACACGAAAAGAACGGTTTTTCTCAAGTATCTAAAAATTTTCGGAATTATCCGAATGATATGTCTAGGTAAATTTTTAGATATTTAAGTAAAATCATCCTATTCGTGTAAAAATCCAATGACGGAGAAGCTAACGTATCGGCCTTCGTCGCCGATTTAATTGAAAGTGAATGGAACGCAGTCGGGCGTTTGTTTCGGGAGTGCCGTTGAAGTTATCGGACTAATAGACATTTGTCAAAACCCATTTGATGAAATTTTATAATTATAATTAATTATAATTAGTTCGCGCGCGATTATAGTGTATTATTCGTGAGTGTTTTTCGCGAGTGTTCTGTGTGAGGATGTACTCAATTCTGAGAAGAGGAGGAGAGGCATCGGGCATCGGTGGAGCAATATTATGGTAAATATTATTTTTTAATTGTTAATGTTAATTTGATTAAATTAATATTTTTTTGTTTGTTCTTAAATCATTTTATTTGACATTTATAAATAATAATTAAAAAAAATGAGAGTTACTTAAAAATTACTTTAAAATGCTTTTATATAAATTTATTCTTTTAAGATCTCCTTTAGCAAATATGTAATTATTTTATATCTAATTAAATAATAACGGTACAAAATTCGATGTTCATAAAAATTATGTTTTCAAAATTGTATGATTATTTTTCACAAAATTTTGCATACGTTTATATAGTAATTATTTTTTAAAATTACGATTATTTCTTTACCCTATTTTAATATGGATTTTAATTTTTTTTGTTATAGAATCATCGTAACGACGTTGCAGATGTAATTCCACTGATGCGCATTGGATCGGTGAGTGATGAATTAATTATTCTTTTATTAAGGTAATGACTGTGTGGTAATTTTATTAGTACACTATATAACTAGATGCATATTTAATATGCATAAATTTAATAACAATATACGGATAAATACATGTACATAGCATTCTATACATCCATTGCATTGAAATGGATCAGTTAAAACAAGTTAAATAAACTTAATCCTTCTGATACTTCTTATTGAATTTATTGTGCGAGTTTGTATACAAAATATACAAACGCATTGATGCAGTATGTATACAAAGCGCATAGAATTTTTAGAAGAACTTGAAATATTATAATAGAATATATGTTATTAATAATTATATTATTTAATCACTAGTATTGTGTATAATCAATATTAAAATTGAATATATTAAAGAGGTTTATTGAATTTTTATGCTTTTTATTATTTAGAAATATATAGTATATATATACAGTATAAATTCTCGAAAATATAAAAATAAAGAAAATATAAGAGATTAAATAAAAATTAAACACATTAAATTTAAGTGAATTTCAATAATAATAAAATTAAGAACGATAAGAACAAATATTTGATATCTTTTATCTTAAAGTTGTGATAATAAAAATATACTTTTCAACAACTAAATTACTATATAAAATCTGTTATATATCTGTGTGAAAATATCTTAATTAAGTTATGGACCGCTTGGCGGCTACTAATTTAACCTGTATATTATTGTACATTAACACTATACATTAGAAGTCAGTTAAAAGTATATAAAAAGTTATATAAATTTTGTATTGAGATTTCTATTTCTATTTATAATTTTTTCTTGAGAATTAAATTATAAAAGATTTATTTTACTTTATTACTGCACCGATTTTCGGAAAATGAAATTAAGGATCTGAGTGTGTCGCTTCTCGATAGTGTTTATGTTCGTTACATTTTCGTTATAAGGACGTGCCACCGATTGTTATTTCGGATCCCTTGTGGAAAGAGATCTGATAGTCTGATACCGATCAGGGAAACTGTTATTTGGAGTTTGCATTTTCATAAGATCTTGCTGTTCTAACAATTATAAAAGATCTTTGTTTGTTTCTTTAATTGATCTCAAAAACAATTGTGAGGTCATAATTTATAATTAGACCGATTTTATTCGTAAGGTTCGACGCCCGTACTTGGACGTTCATTCTGTGCCAATATTCATATAATCAAAAATAAAAGATAACATTCCAATAATAAGTACTTAATAGATATAATTTGAAATGAAACAAAGGATATGTGGCTCCAGTTTAACGGTTTGAAGCAAATATGCTCACTGAATCGGTAACGCATTGACTATCTTTTTGCAAGAATTATAAAATAAGACTAGACAAATAATTTAGTTTTTTTAATATTGGTTATAATAATTTGACAAAATTTTAAATGCAAAAAATTTTATTATAATTTAATCATATTAATTTACATTTTTTGGAATTAAATCTCCGTTCTGATCAGATTTTGATTAGACTATTTTTAGATTTCACCTAAAACGCAAATATGTATATAATACGCAAATATGTAATATAATATATTACACTTAGATCTTTCTATGTAATAAATATAACCTATGCAACACGATTCTTCAACGGATGTTGCAAAAGTATCATGTTGGAAGAATACGATTAATTTTATGACACTTTTTTATTTATATTGGGAGATAACATATATAACTTATTGTTAATAAATTGCTAATTAAATGTTTAGTTTGCAAACTAGGCTGCTTTAATAAAAGTCTTCCCTATATATGAATACTTTTTACATTCATAGTATAATTATCAGATGCTCTGTTTTTATCGAAAATAGATAAGCTGACTAAAACGATTAATAAGCTACATAGTAAAACCATAACTAAACATGAATGTTGCTCACATTAGTAAACAACATTACTGTTTATAAATCTAATAATAACATTATAGAAGACAGGTATAAATTTATCAATTATGTGACGCATGTAAATTGATTAACTGTTACAAACTTACTGATTAACCCAATTACAGTAAAGTAAGTTCAGAAATATAGTACTTTCCCCTTAACTTTATACCATCCCTTCTTTTTGTCCTACCAACGATGAGGCATGCGTACTTTGCACGTGGGGGTGTGTCATTATCCACCACCATGAGATCCCTTCGATCTCCGATTATTCATACGCGAGGTATTTACATCAGTTTCTCATGGTAATGCAACGGTGATACTTGCTTTGTGGTTTTGCGTTGTCGCGCTCGGATGTGACCGAACAGTTATCCATTTTTTATATCGTTCATCAATTATCTTTGTAGTTAGAATTATGTGAATATCATCTCTACGCATTAAAAGATATCTTTTAACATTAATTAACATTATTATACAAGTAAATAATTTTGTATTAATAATGTTAAGAATGCTGTTCTGCTCGTAACATGAAATTATTCAGGCGAATATAATATCACAGTTCTAGTCAGGGTAAGTGAATATGATTATGTATCTCTGAACGAGCGAAATGAAGATCGAAACTCGTGAATTTTGATGCGTAGTGTCAGTGGAATAAATAGGAATAATACTTAATGGTTATTGTCGTATATGCCTGTAATATGTCATATATGCCTTTAATGTATAACTAGGGCAAGAAGTAAATACGTCCTGTCCTATACTTGTAAGTCGTTGTCACCAATCTGATATAAACAAGTGATTAAATTTAATAATTAATATACCGAAGCTTTTTACCTTTCTATCTCTTTGTCACAATCTTGGCTGTGATTAAATTCAATTGTCTATCAATTATCGGATACAGCGAGGTTTAGTTTTAATTATTAATTGGAATTCTGTTTAATAAGTTTAATTTTAGCTATTATTATATAGCGTGTTACATTTTCTATTTGTGTTATCTTTTTAACAATTTAGTTTGAATAATTTATTAAATCTTCATTTATTTTTGTAGGAATATATTTAAAAAATTTTAAAAAGTATTGAAAAAAATTCTTTATGTAAAAATATTTAAATATTAACAACATATATTCTTATGATTTTTCTTGATATTATGTAAAAATTTCTAAATTAAATTTTATTATTATTAATCTATTAATTCTATCTATTATTAATCTATTAATTTATTAATCAAAATAATTGACATTAA